TGTTTACTACGTGCTATTGAATTGAAAAATGAATTTACACCAATTGCAGACTCGACGCGGATTCTGATCGCCATGTGGTGGATATTCATTTTAATACTAACATCCTTTTACACGGCGAATCTTACTGCGTTCCTTACGAGACCACAGTTTACCTTACCGATCAACAACATACAAGATATATTGCGTAAAGGTTATCAGTGGATCTCTTATAAAGGGCGCACAATGGACTTACTTTCTGAAGTAAGTCTTTTCGCAAACACGTATTTAATCTTTTTCAAAAGAGAATTTACCAGATTTATAATTACAATCTTATCCAATAGTTGCTATTTAAAACTAATAAGAATTGCAAGCATCAATTTCATGATCATAAAGCATTAAAATAACACTAGTTTACACAAAAAGTTATTTTGAATTATTAATATATTTAACAATATATCTATAATATTTTTAATATTGTATTATGTATCACAAGTCAAGAACCCATACATAACATGGCTAAAAAGTAAGATATTTAAATTTATAAAAATGCATCTTATAGAGAATGGACAATACATTCACTTCTCATTAGAATTTTAAGATAATATTAATCTTTTATATAAAAAAATATTAAATATCGCAAAAAATTTTTGATAGATTAAATCTCTGCAGTTATTTCGAAAACGTAATGTACTAGTACAATATTTTGCGTGCGGTACTGTTTTCAGTCAAACTTTGTAAGAAACACTTTGTTTGGTTCAAAGTAATTAAAAAAAATTATTTTTTGTAAACTAATGTAATTAATAGAGCTTACATTTTATTTTTAACATTTTCAGTTCCACGATGTTGATGATTTAAGTCTCTTAAACGACACAAGATGGAAAGACAACTACATAACGTCGTATGAATATCCAGTTAACGATATTTTTGACGCTTTAGAGAAGAGTGAGTACTACCGTCAAATTTCAAGTACATACTTTAATAATAAATAAAAAGAATAATACATAAATTCACGAAGCATTAAAAGTCAGCGCTGGTACTAATTTGCGCAATTAT